AGCAAGAAGAATAACATAGATCGGATTTTATCAAGCACACGTGCTTTCGGCCCGCGTGGCTCCACGTTAAACGTATAAAATCGACCGAAGAAAATTCGCATGGCAGTCAACGGTGACCGACGCACGATCGCCATCTTCCTGTAAATTAATATAGGCATAGCGGGGATTACAGGGCGTGATGCTGCGAGCAAGAAGAATAACATAGATCGGATTTTATCAAGCACACGTGCTTTCGGCCCGCGTGGCTCCACGTTAAACGTATAAAATCGACCGAAGAAAATTCGCATGGCAGTCAACGGTGACCGACGCACGATCGCCATCTTCCTGTAAATTAATATAGGCATAGCGGGGATTACAGGGCGTGATGCTGCGAGCAAGCGAATACTTTACATCGAATTTTACCAAGCACACGTGCTGTCAGCTTGTCCGGCTCCACTTTGAACGTATTAGAACGGCCGAAGAACATTCTCTTGGCAGTCAACGGCCGGCGAAGTCGGGCGCCTTTTTTATGTACAATAGCACTGCGGGGAACCCAGGGCGTGATGCTGCGAGCAAAGTGAATAATAATAATTGGATGTTCCCAAGCACACCTGTTGTCGGCCCGCCCGACTCCACTTTGAACGTATAAGAACGGCCGAAGAACATTCTCTTGGCAGTCAACGGTGACCGACGCACGAGCGCCATCTACATGTAGAATAATATGCATAGCGGGGAACCCAGGGCGTGATGCTGCGAGCAAAGATAATATTAAAGATCGGATTTTACCAAGCACACGGGCTGTCGGCCCGCCTGGCTCCACTCTGAACGTATAAGAACGGCCGAAGAAAATTTTCTTGACAGTCAACGGTGACCGACATACGAGCGTCTTTTTTCAAGTACATTAGCATTGTGGGGAACCAAGGCTGTGATGCTGCGAGCAAAATGAGTATTATAGATCGGACTTAACCAAGCACACGTGCTGTCGACCCGCCTGGCTTCGCTTTGAACGTATAAGAACGGCCGAAGAAAATTCTCTTGGCAGTCAACGGTGACCGACGCACGAGCGCCATCTTCCTGTACATTAATATGGGCATAGCCAGGGCCGGATTAAGCTAGTGCGGGGTCTGTATCATATGTTATAAAGGGACCCAAAATTTACAAAAAATACACATAAATTTTAAAACATGAATTTTTTACATACATAGTAAAGTAATTAATTTTTATTATCTGGCTATACAGCCAGATAATACGACAAATTTGTCTGACATTTCAGCAATAGTATTACTTACATGTAGGTATCAATTTCAAATGTCAAAAGTAGCAAACCTACTACAATTTATAAGTTACATTTTCTAGATTTAGCCTGAACAAATTTGTTGATAATACTGAAAATGTCTATTTCACGCAGAAGTTCATGTTCAATGCTCAATCTGTTTTGACCTATTGTGCTCCTTAATTTATTTTTATTCCTTTTCAGTTTTGAAAATGAGCGTTCTCCACTGCAGTTGGTAACCAAAAGTCCACGGTTGCTGAAATCTATCGGATCGTGACAAACCAGCAAGCTGACTGAGGGCCTGAGGCGCGTTTCTATTTTCGTTTTGATCTCTGTGTAGCGGCTATGATTCTAGTTTCAAATACTTTCGCATGTGCATCAGTATATGTATAGTATGCGTCGTATATCGCTTGCAAGCATTTAGCGCGGGATCCTTGAAAATGCCGGGCCCGTAGCATATGCTACTTTTGCTAGTTAGTTAATCCGGCAACATTTGCCCAAATTAATGTACAGGAAGATGACGCTCGTGCGACGGTCACCGTTGACTGCCTAGAGAATTGTCTTCGGCCGTTCTTATACTTGCATTAATGCACAGATTGCGTTAATGACTGTGTGTGTGTGTGTGTGTGTGTGTGTGTGTGTGTGTGTGTGTGTGTGTGTGTGTGTGTGCGTATGTGTGTGTGTATGTGATTGGTTGTGCTTAGGCCGCTTTTCAAGAATGTTTAACGTTATTTTCAAGTTTTTAGTACGTTAGGAAAACGTTATTTTTAACGTTATAAAAACGTTATAAAAACCCGACACAATTTCGTAATTATAACGTTGGTGTATAACGTTATCCAAACCAAAACATAACGTTAAAATAACGTTATGTGAACGTTTTTGGGTTAGCTGGGTATACATATAATTAAATAGCGGCCATATTGAATTTATGCAAATTAGGGTGGCCATATTGCATTTTTGCATGTTAGAGAGTGATCCATTTTTATTTTAATATAGGTAATTGCATTCTCCATGCCAACAATCATCATAATAGTACTTTGATTTACTCAAATATATCCATGGGTAGCAGAAATATTGCAAAATAATGGAAATTGGCGGCCATTTTGGATTTATGCAAATTAGGGCAGCCATATTGCATTTTCGCACGATATAGAGAGTGATCCATTTTTATTCTAATATAGGTAAATGCATTCTCCATGCCAATAATAATTAAAATAGAACTTTTAATTACTGAAATATGTCCTTGGATAGCAGAGATATTACAAAATCATGGAAATTGGCGGCCATTTTGGATTTATGCAAATTATGCAAATTTGCGTGGGAGGATTTCTTAGGACTTTTAGTATGTTGTTCTGGAGACTTCACTAAAACGCACTGCAGTGAAATAATTTCTGTTGCTTTTTTTTCACGCTCAAATGCTAGATTTCCTGGACTATTAGGTACAAACACTTCTCCTCTTATTAACGTCACTGCGAGTACCAGAGTCGCAACACACAGTCGATACCTGTAATGGCAAAATAAAGGCGTTTGTGTCGTAAATTACCGAAGGACCGCATGGTTCGCCTAACACATTATGGCCAGGGTGGGCGCGCGGCGACAGATGGCGCGTTAGCACATAATGGCTGTGGGCAAGCGGTCATTACGGCTACGCCACAGACTAATACGCCTTTGATTTACACAGGGAATCGTAGGTGTCGAGGTGACAACGGCTATAGAAATCACCAGACACCTCCAACGCGTCGACACGACGGGTTTCAAGCGAACCCTATTGGGTTCTCTAATTATCGCGGCAGCTTACCTGACCGCATAGTTACGACTAACAAGCCTTTGGTTTACACAGGACGTCTTAAGGATCGAGGTGGCAATGGCTATAGAAACTGCCACACACCTCGCGCAGGGTGTCAACAGAACCCTGTTGTCGTGCGTAAGTCGGGCCATTGTGCACGATCTAATTACGTAGCACCTAGTGGTGTTAGTGATGGGAACGTGTGTGGCAGTGATAATGGGTCTAATAACAATGTGGATGGGAGGAGGCAGCTGGGCAGGCCGCGAAATTTTTTTCCCCAAACGGTATAACATAGCGAAGAATTTAGCGCCTTCTGATTGGCTGCTTCGATTTGCTTTGCCTTTGACAAGAGAACAAACGCCCATTTGTAAATGTTTGTTTGGGTTTATGACCGCTAGATAAGTACGTTTTCTGATGTATTT